AAAAGTCAGTGCAAGAGCAACAACAGGTTGGAAGGTCAACTCTCTAGACGAAGAGGCGCTAGTAGCCATGATGTCTGGAATTTCGTTACCCTACGGACCTAGTAACATGACGAACTACCTCATGGCCAAAATTACTCAAGCGTGCGACGCTTCGATGAAGAAAAAATACCCGACCAGCCGACGTGCACCAGTTTATTGGTGGAATGAGCAAATAGCGGACTTGCGACTGCAATGCAACAGAGCGAGAAGAAACTACCAGCGTGCCAGAAGGTATGAAAGCTTTACCGGCGAACATGCTATATACAGAGCTAAACGCAAGGAGCTTAAACAAGCCATAAAGCTCAGCAAGCGAAAGTGCTTTACTAGCTTGTGTGAAAGCGTCCAAAATGACCCCTGGGGCTTAGCATATAAAGTCGTGACGAAAAGGCTGAAGGCATCGGTTCGACCACAGGTATTATGCCCAAATAAGCTGGAGACGATAATAAAGGCGTTATTCCCAATGCAACCAAGTTTTGTGAGAGAAATCTTTCCTGCTACGATGTTCGAGTTTCCCATGGTGAGCACGGAAGAAGTACTTCTTGCGGCCAAGCGATTTAAAGATAAAAAATCACCGGGGCCGGATGCAATTCCAAATCGTGTCCTCAAGCTTGCTGTAGCTGCGAACCCTAAAGTGTTCGTCGATAGTTTTAACGAATGCTTTAAAGAAGGAGTATTTCCTGATGCATGGAAGCGCCAGCGGCTAGTTCTATTGCCGAAAACTGGGAAGCCACCAGAAGATCCCTCAGCATATCGTCCTATATGCATGTTGGATACGACGGGCAAGTTGTTCGAACGCATAATCAGCGATAGACTGCTAGAAGCAATCGAGGAAAAGGGAGGCCTCTCAGAGACACAGTTCGGCTTCAGAAAGGGGCGGTCAACGGTAGATGCAGCCAGTTTAGTAAAGCAGTTGGCGGAAGATGCAATCAGTGGCGAAAGGTGGAAGGGAGGAGCAAAGGAGTACTGCTTGCTTGTCACCCTCGATGTAAAAAATGCGTTCAACACAGCAAGTTGGAAACACATAAACGCTGCTCTACGCAGATTCGAGGTACCCGCATACCTTCGCAAGATTGTAGACAACTACCTAGCAAATAGAGTGCTACTGTACAATACGGAGAACGGTGTCAAAGAACATAAAGTCTCGGCTGGAGTACCACAGGGTTCGGTTCTGGGTCCAATACTCTGGAATATCATGTACGATGGTGTACTCCGACTATCCTTGCCAGAACGAGTGAAAATTGTCGGATTTGCTGACGACATAGCGCTAGTGGTGGTAGCGAAGCATCTAGAAGAAATAATTACCGCAGCAAATAGTTCAATCGTCCAGATCCAAGCATGGCTGGCCGAAACAGGACTGGAACTTGCGCACCAAAAAACCGAGACAGTTCTAGTAAGCAGTAGAAAAGTCAGAGAAGTGGCGACTATAAAGGTTGGTCAACAAGAAATTACGTCAAAGGCGGCCCTAAAATACCTAGGCATAATGTTTGATGCGAGGCTTACCTTCAAGACGCACATTGATTATGCTGTCGAGAAAGCCGAAAAGGTGGCAGGGGCACTAACAAGGGTTATGCTGAACGTAGGAGGCCCGAAACAACAGCGTAGGCAGCTATACGCAAGCGTCGTGCGCAGTGTGCTGCTCTATGGTGCACAAATCTGGTATGAAGCGTTCAGCAAGACGTCATATGTACGAGAAGCAAGGTCTTTGCACAGATTTTGCGCTATCAAAGTATGCAGTGCATTCCGAACTACGTCCGAAGAAGCAGCACTAGTGGTGGCAGGACTCTGCCCCATTGACATTCTAGTGGAAGTGACAGGCCCCAGGCCTATAAACCGAACGAGACGCGAAGAGGTGACACAGAGGTGCTTGCAGCAATGGCAAACGAGGTGGGACCGCGCAGCCAGCGGTCGTTGGACGCACCGCCTCATACCCTCGATATCAAGGTGGGTAAGTAGGGAACATGGGGAAGTGGACTTCCATTTGACCCAAATATTGACAGGGCATGGGTGCTTTAAATCATATTTATACCGATTTAAGCACGAAGACGATCCCTTCTGCACCTTCTGTGCAAAGGATATTATTGAAGACGCTGAACACTGCTTTTTCGTCTGTCCGAGGTTTGCAATCGAAAGGGATGACTCGAGCAGGAAGGTGGGGAGGCCACTTACGGTTCATAACCTTGTGGATACTATGCTTGAGTCAGAAGATAACTGGTCCGTTGTTTGCAATTTGGCAAGCACAATTTCATCTAAATTGCGTCGAGCGGAACAACTCCGCAGAATTTCATAGATTGGCAATAGGCCGCTCCCCCTCCGCGAAGTAATACCTTACGGTAGTTCCACGGTGGGAGGGAAACGGAGCAGGGGTGGGTTTTTAGTGCGGTGAGCTGAAAGGCAAGTCCCACACTTTTCGGCTTTCAATGCTTTGTGCCACCTCTACAAAAAAAAAAAAAACATATGTATGTACGTACATATGTATGTAGGTACTCGAATGCATGCTCGTTCAAGATGTGTTTGCTATCGCTTTCTATAACCGTAATCAGGGTTACCACTGAAAAATTTTCTTTCCTACCAAGAGCTGGTGGTTCATAAACCTACCAAAATGGCTTCTTCCCTACCATTTCTTTTAATCGAGGAAAATGCGTTTAACAGTAATAAATACATTAATTTTTGCTGGTTTTTATATTCAAAATAAGACCTCCAGGTTAACAAAAATATCAGAATAATAGCTATTATATACATATGTATATATATTTAGCACACAAAAAAATTAGTGTGGCAAAATATTCGCATAGTTTATAGTTTTAATAAAGCCTTCGGAGTAAATGACGTGAAAACTCGTAGCACAAAATAAAATTCCTTCGTAGATTTTTTATACATCGCTCTTTTGCATACATACTTAATTATGCAGTATATATCCATAATTAGGTTAAAAATATACTTCACGGTTCTTCTTCTTCTTCTTATTTGGCGCTGTAACCGCCTAAGTGATTTTGGCCGAGTTCAGCAAAGCACGCCAGTCGTTTCTCTTCTATGCCAACTGACGCCAATCGGATACGACAAGCGAAACCAAGTCCTTCTCCACCTGATCTTTCCATCGCAGTAGGGACACGAATTTCGATACGATACGATACGATATCGATACTTTTGGGCTTCGATGCCGATATTTTCTACTCGATAGTTTTAAAACGATATTTTTTCGAATCGAGTACAAGAACCCTAGTATCGTATCGAAAGTCATAAAGTCACATTACAAGGATAATATTTGTAATATAGTTAGGATTGCATGTGGTGGAATTTGACGGCTGCAATTTAGTTTGGCATCCCCGGAGTTCCGCATTAAGGTAGCCATGGAACGATAGAGGGAGTTCTCCTGATTGCAAATATATATACTTTTAGCCGCAGCAGGCTTCTAATTTTTAAGTTATTTGTTGTTAAAGTTTGTAAATTGAACTAACCTCTCGGCGTTATTTCACACAATAAACACTTTATTTATGTGCACACTTCGGCAAAATAGTTGCATTAAAACCCCGGCCTGAGATTTCCACTTTAATATACTATTCTTAATTAATTAATTAAGTAAAACGCGTTTATAAATGTCTTCACAAACGTTTGCACATTTCACAAACAAGCAGAGATAACAATGGCTGACAGTAACACAAAATGTATGCTACCATACGTTAAAAAAATACACAAATAAGTGCGTATAATTAGGAAGTATAAGTGTACAATACGTACATATATTGCTCTTATTAAAAATAATAATATTAGGATCGATAGGGGTCTTACTCCTGATCATAACGGTATTATTTTTTTCGGGTGGAAATAATATTTACTGGTGTTATTGTAGTTCAAAGTACACAAATGTAGAAAACGTACATCGTTAATTTGATAAATAATGAAAATTTTTAATAAAAAATCGCGCGATAAATAATGAAAATATTTAATAAAAAACCGCGCGATTTTTTATTAAAAATTATCGCCTGCAGCGCTTTTTCCATAAAAATCTATACTTCGATAAATAATAAAAATTTTTAATAAAAAATCGCGCGATGCCAAACTAAAATTTTCCCGAGATTCTGCTCCGATTTGTCGCGCGCGCCTTAATGTTGCGGCACAAAAGGGTCCTTTCAGTTTATGTCGACTCTGAACGGCGATTATACGGGACCTATATTCAGATAAATTTTTTGGATTTTGGTATCGATATTTGGAATATCGAGTCTTTTTATTCCGATATTAATGTGTACCCGATATTTTTGAAGCGATAATTTAAATGAGTACCATATCGATACTTTCTGTTCGATATCGTGTCCCTACATCGCAGTGGGGGCCTCCCTCTTCCTCTGCTACCACCAGCGGGTGGTAGAGCTGGAGCATCGGTGTCCATTCGAACGACCTGGCCAAGCCAGCGGAGCCGCTGTATTTTAATTCGCTGCATTATGCTCATGGTTCCATCGTCTGCGGTATTCGCCGTCGCCAACGCGTAAAGGCCCGTAAATCTTCCGCAAAATCTTTCTCTCGAACACTCCAAGACCCGCCTCATCGAATGTTGTCATTGTCTATGCACGGGCATGATGAATGACTTATAGAGCGTGGTTTTCGTACATCGAGAGAGGACTTTACCCCTGAATTGCCTACTCAGTCCAAAGTAGCACTTGTTGGCAAGAGTGATTCTGCGTTGAATTTCCTCACGGCTAGGCTTGCCAAATGTCCGGGTCTAGGACTTTCCGATTACTGGAAATATGACTAACAATAGGTTTTTTCCACAAGCTACTTCTAGAAAAACTCGAGCAAAGTTCAAACTGTGAGAGTATATCAAAGAAGCTCTAAAACTTACTTGTGGTATGCGTATGTGTAACTTTCCTCCTCGATTTTTGCGATACCGCCGCCTAAGAAGTTTCACTTCAAAAAACGCAGCCTTTCCTAAAACCTGTATTTTACAGTTAAAATTTTTTTTATTGCAGAAACTATACATTGATGTTAGTCAACTGGATCATGGAGACTGTCTGTTTGGATGTTCGAGAACATCAAGTTCGAACGAAAGCATTTTGTGGTGAGCGAAGGTAAAATATTTTTATATTAACAATTTGAGAATGGATTTCTTCTAGTAAGGACGGAATTTCTCTCTTACATCATTTTCAAATATTACCATCGCTTAATAACCAAATGCGATCTGTGGCAGTACTTGATATCGAAAACTTAAGGAACGCATATTTAAACTGGAGCCATATTGGTCTGTTCGTCCAAGCAACGAGAACACCGGTAAGAATTTGTAGTGCTATGATCTTAAGTTTCGAATGTACACCATAATAACCGAATTAATATACTTGTATTCACAGGGCCGCCGAGAGCCAGGCAGGGCCCAGCGAAGATTGCATCGGCGAGCCCTTTGAATTGAAACTTTTTGGTGCTTTTTAGTACTACCCACACATCCATTATTACAAAGACAATTTTTTTTTTTATATGAATTTGGTTACGTAAGACCAGTGCTGGCCACTTTATGATTACGATTTACAGTAATCGGGATACGAAAAATTTTAAGATTATAATTACAGTAATTGTAATCATGAAAATTGTTATTACAATTACAGTAGTAATCGTTAACTTTTTTAGGATTACAATTAAAGTAATCAAAATCATGCAATTCATGCAATTGCGATAACTAAACATAACAGTTGTTGATGACAACCATATATGTAATACTTCTATATTGATAGTAAGCTAACATCTCAATGTGTAAGCATTCCGAAATCAAAGCGAGACAGTCTAGTACTGTTTTTGTCAATGTATTGTGTACTTGAGTGCCGGTTTTGTAAATGTGTCGTGTACATGTTTATTTATAAACGTATGTGTTCCTTTTCTTTCGTACGTGTTTATTGATATATCTGTACTGTAGTGTTTTCGGACGGTACTAGCTCTTACTGCCAATATAGGAGTATTACATATATGATGACAACTGTCATTGAAAAATGCACTATGAAGGAAATGTTCTGTGACTAAGTGATACATACCAATCGATTTCTTTTTTCGTCGAGAATAAAATTTGAAAAAAATGTGTTTGTAATTTTAATGCATAATTTAAAAAAATAATTATTTTTTATTTTTTATTTATAAATTCAAAATAACAATAATTTTTGATTTTTATTCTATAAATCTAAAATAACAATTATTTTTGATTTTTATATTATATGTCTTAGATAGCAGTTATCGAAGACTTATTTATAAAATTCATCAATAAAAATCAGTCAGTGGCTTTTGCTTTTAAAAATCATCAATATAAATCTGTCACTGACTTTTATTTTTTAAGTCATACGTATAATGCAGTTAAGATGGTGTTGGAGAACAAACTTTTACTAGACTTATACAAATACCTTTTATAAGTATGACTTAAAAAATAAAAGCCAGTGACTGACTTAAATGAATGACTTTTGAAAGTAAAAGTTTTCAATAACCGTTATTTAAGACATAAAATATAAAAGTCCAAAATAACTGTTATTTGCAGATTATATAGATAAAGATCAAAAATAATTGTTATTTTGGGTTTTTAAATAAAAGTTAGAAATAATCGTTTTTTAAAGATTAATGCACTAGTTGAAAAAAAATTAACTGTAAATGGACTGGTTGTATTGAAATTTAATTTTTTCGTTACATAATAACCGCGTGTATGCAAATAAGTGGTTGATTCTTCATAAAGTGTGTTGGAATCAGTGTGAAAGTTTGTTTAAAAGTGCTAAGAAAATCCTAAAGTAAAACAATTCTGGGCAAATTCAGGTTAAGTAAAAGTCAAAAAATAATTGTTAAAGAGCGATTTTTATAATAAGAGTTGTAACTGTTACGGTCCCTAGAAATTAGTTTTGCTTAGAGCAAACATTGATTTTTATACTCCAAAATGATTTTAATATATAAATTCGCGCATTTGTTTGAAATTGTTGTAATATTCTACACAGACTCGTGGCCGCAGTATTTTTAATACAGATTTATTTTGATTAACTGTATTAATAATAATAATAGGTTGGCGTTTACACATACGTATGTTAGTGTTTGGCCACGCTTCTCCTCAGATTTGTTGCGTGCGTCTTGGTGGTGTCACACAAAGGGAAGGGACCTGCAGTTTTACACCGACTCCGAATGGCGATTTTTATTGTTTTGATATTGGGTTGAACCGGGCTTGAACCCAGGCCCTGCGAAGTGTTAGCGCACACTGATAACCTCTACACCACAGCGGCCGCCATTGTCCTTTCATCTTTTGTTTTAAACTACTTTGATAAAGAAATATTATGGGTTTTCATCTAAACGTTTATGAGGCATTCCAAGCTATTGCAAGGAAAATTGTGATTATTTTTTTTCGATTTTGATATAAGCTGAGTAAAATGTAGAAATACCTCTAAGATATGGCAAATGCAGGGAATGTAAAAAAATAAATAAATTTGCAAAAGTTATACAACATCCAAAATATAGCTGTCTCGGCGAAAGCCATTGTTTATCACATCAAAGCTCGATAAATATTGGTTGTATAAAAAAATCAGTTAGTTAGAGATTTATAAAAAATGTTTTATTTTTTTAAGTCCAATTTTCCACACGTTTGTTAATGAACAACTTAGAAAGTTTCTAAAAAAAATGTTTGCTGGTTTTTAAAAACTGCAAAAAATATATGTGATGGAGTGTATATCAAAGATTTAACTGACAAATTTTGAAAGGGTGTCTCAATATAGGGCCGAGATATTGATTGTTTCGTAAAGCAGTGACTGATGAAAAAATAAAAAAAAAATAAATTCTTTAATTAAAATTTGATCAAAATACGTTAAGTGGTTCACTTAAAAACCTTTTCTTTCGGATAACCAAGATAGTTACGTACTTTGGTACAGATCCAGATAATATTTGTTTCCCTATACTTTATTTTGCAATAATCCTCTTACTTTACGAAAAATCTCGAATTTAAAATTAACATAATCATTTCTTTGATTGGTCATATCTCCTAAACGGGCAGAGATAACTTAATCATTTTGGTTTAAAAAAAGCGGAAAATTCTCATCTTTTAGCAAAAATTATTAAATGTGTCATTTTTAATGTCATGTTGAATTAAAATATATCTTTGAATTTTTCTAGCATCTTTTTTGCACGAATTTTTAAATTTGTTACTTTTAATGTATGCTAAATTAAGATACATCTTTGTTTTTTTTTTCTAAATTGTTCATTAACAAACATATGGAAAATTGGAATTAAAAAAAAAGTTTAATAAACCTCTGACCCTTTGTCAATAAAAAAGTACTAATTGATTTTTTTGATACAACCAATATATATCGAGTTATGATGTGATGAGCAATGGGCGCGTTCATAAGACGTANTAATTGATTTTTTTGATACAACCAATATATATCGAGTTATGATGTGATGATGTGCTGTTGCGTAACACGGTTGAGTAGTTCCGCTCAGCTCCATAGTTGGTAACTTTCCGCAATTTTTTCCAGCGGAAAATTTTTACGCTACCTGAACTCAACGTGTTGGGCTTAGCCTAAACAGCTGATCGAAAAGACTTACGCCGTTAAATTTAACGCCGCTTTGTTAGGTGGTAGGTGCAAACAAATTTATTATAGTTTATATTACTGCTGTGATAAAATAACTAAAATGTTTTATAATAATACTACGCTTCTTAATATATGCTTTTAAGATGTTTGCTATATAATTCATTGAACCGTTGAACGACTTTTTCAACACGGCGGCAGCTTAGCGCTGAATTCTAAATACTATCGGCGCAACTATCTCTATTTATTGCAATTATTGCAGCTACGACTTATGGACGCTCCCAATGGCTTACGGCGAGACACCTAATATTTTGGTTGTTGTATAACTTAAAAAAAACGTTTTTTTTGCGATTACAAATACTTTTGGGACCTCCTCTGCAACATATCCGTAAATCGAGCAAAAGTAGTTTTTGACCAATTGAAATAGTGTGGAATGCCTCTTACATGAATTGCCTTATCGTAATTTTCCATTTATGGTTTATGTAAATGTCTTGAGCAATGAAGTGTTTTTATGTAAGTTCATGTACAATATATTCAAAAGTTATTGCCATGCATTACATTTTCCGTGATTTTCATTTACCTGTTAAATCAGCGTTGCCAGTAACAATTTTTATCCCCTACCAAATTTCTTCCCAAATCCGACCAAAATCGTTTACAGCCTACCAAATAAATTTCAATTTAAAAAAAACATTCTGAAAGCATACAATTCTTCTACTTAAGATTAAAAGTTCCGAATACAAAGCATTTACATAAATATATATATGTACTTTGTACATTTTAAAACAAACAAGAAATAAATACGTGCAGACACAGTCTTAGGCACAGAGATGAGATCATTTAAAATTTTTTGGTTCTATGAATTATATACATATGTACATGTTATGTACCAATAAGTTATTTTTTTTTTTGTAAGTAAACTTAAATCAATTACACATGCAAATCTTTAGCAGCTGCGTGGTTATTATATCAGGATCGCAATCTATGAGATGGGGAAACTTTAACAAAAGAGGTAAAATTGGTAAATCTTCATTAGAAACTACCACAGCTGGCGTCATTATTTGTAAAAGTTGTATATCTTCACGCGTGAAATCAAATCTTATATTTATTTGGTCCCAAAACTCTATGTAAAACTTTAATGTATTGGTTTTAACTTCAAGGATTCCAGAACAATTGACATTACTTTTCATAACCATCTCAGCTTTCGTTCTAAAAAAAATGTCAGATATTTCAACATGATTATATTTATTTTTAAAATCAACATTAATATGTTACTGATCGCACCTTTTTTTAATAAAGGTACTCAAAATTAAGAGATAATGTGCTTCGATAGTTGCATATAAGTATGGCAAACGAGAACTTTCAGCTTGGAACTCTTTGTTAAGATTGTTAATTATGGGGAAAATTTAAGATAGAAATAAAAAATAGCATTTGGTTTTGCAACTCATTCCTTCTGCCAGGTCTGCAGATCGCATACCGTTTACTTCGTAAAAGCAGGAAATAAAATAAAGTTTCAAACTATCCCATTGCTCCACTTTTTTTTAATAATAATAATCCCAACGGTTTTACGCTCCATTCCCGCCCATCCGCACGATTCAATTTTTGCGCCGAGTCACGAAAGGCAGGAGTTTATTAAGTGTCGAGATGTAAAACCAAGGCTAATTTATACAAAGTGGTGTTACTGGAGAATTTAGGTTTTCGCCGCGGTCATTCTGAATGTCAAAATGATGTGTTTGTTGTAAT